CACGGAATTATAATCCAGTATTCCAAAAGAAAACATGTCTATTCTTAGTAGGAAAAGGAAAGATTCACCAGAATGCTTTCACTAAAGAAATACTAAAGTATATTCTTCAGGCAAAGGAAATAATCCTGGTGAAAGCCAGATAGAAAAAAAAATCTGAATTCAAAGTAAGTCTAATTAACATTGTAAATTAATCATTTTATAAAAAAATATACAGAAATTTTAAATTCCTAGGTTAGAAGGGGGGTTTTAATGGAGTTAATTATACATAATTAACTGAGAAGATAAAAGTCTAATTAACTTTAGTATGATATTAATTTTTAGAATTGTAGAAGAGATGTGAACTTCTAAACTAACAGAATGGGGAAAATTAAACAAATATTCAATCAAAGAATACAAGAGGCGGTGGGGTTGGCTTAAGTGTATCACACTGCCTCAAGTGCAAAGCCCTGAGTTCAAATCCATACCACCAGGGGGGGGGAAGAAAGAGAAGAAAGGGATGGGAGAGGAGGAGGAAGAAAGAAAAGAGATACCCTTCCTGCCTTTTGTGGGATTTGTCTTTTCTTTTTATAATTTTGTCTATACTCAAAGGAGAAGGAGAGGAGAAGAAGAAGGAGAAAAGAGGGAACCCTCAAAAGCAAAAAGACCGAGGAACAAGTGGGCATATTATGCGAACATTAAAGTATAACTCATCACATTTAATTATATTACAATGCAATGATTGGCATAGGGGATGGGGAGAAATGACCAACATTGTATTGCAAATAGAATAAAAAAGAATTTAAAAAATGCAATGATACATGCTTCCAATTAAAAGACAAGATAGTCCAGTTTTTTTAAAATAGCTATTTTCGTTTACAGATACATATCATGAAATACGTGCATTGAAGGAAAAGTGATGACTAATATGCTAACCTTGCAAATTGTGTCGTTGTATTTAAATCAATATTCTGTTGTGGTTTCAAAGCAAAAAGTATTATGGAGAAAAAAGAAAACTTATACTAATAAATGGTTAATTCAGTAGGGGAAATATGTAGTAATTTCTAGTTTGTGGCATATACTACATTGGGTCTCAAAATATAAAGTCAAATTGACTACAATTGAGGTCGATACATTACACGTGTATTGTAGTTGCCCACTGAGAGGTTCTAGAGGGCAAGACCCACAATATCATCAATGAGTATTACTCTGTGCCTGGACTTGTTTTTTTATACTAGTTTCCTAAGGGCTGTCATAGTCTGAAAAGATTCAAACCAGTGTCTTTAAAAAACAATGGAAATGTTTGTTCTTATGTTATTGGAGCTAGAAGTACAAATCAAGGTGTTTACAGTCGGCTCCTCTGAGGGCTGTGAGGGAAGAGCTGGCCCATGTTTTCCTGATTATGATTGGCTCCTCTTCCTCATCGCTTCACATCGTTACTCTGTGGGGCTTTTGCATCTAAATTTTCACTTTGTATAAGACTCCAATTTACGGGATCATTGATCATAATGATCTCATTTTTTTTTATTTATTTTTGTTTGTGCCACATTCTTTCATTTTCCATTTTTATTAGGATATATTTGATATACGGGGGATTCACTGTAACATTCCAAATAGCCTTGCATTGTTGACTTGCTCCCCTCTCACACACACCCTTCCCTGACCCACTTAAAGCAATTGCAAGAGGTTTCATTGTTCTATTTCACATATGTATATGAAGTCCATCAACCATATTCCCTCACCTTCATCTCCTCCATTCACCCTTCTTGCTTCACAAATAACACCCCCACACACATGCACACACATGTGCACACACACACACACACACACTGTACCTATTTTACAGTCCTTTGATTATTAATTGCAAAGCCAATGTTCAAAATGGTTTCTCCGAGTATCCCCACAATGAATATACTTTACTTTGATCAGTTCAAAGTACTGTTGAACTGTTACTCTCCTTACGCCTCCCTCTCACCCTATGAATCAACAACTTTCAGTACACATCATTATGTCCTCTGCTACACAGATGAGATGCATTTTGATATTGTTGACTCTCTTCCATTCACTTTTAACTTTATTGCCTCTTGCTATGGCTTGAATGGTGCTGACCCCTCCAAAATGCATGTTGTAACTTGATTCCCAGTGCAACACTATTCCATTCCATTTATATTATAATTTTGGCATTTGTTAGAAATTTCACCATTTGTTAGATATTCCGTCCCATTTTCTTCATTCTCTCATTCTTTCTTTCTCTTTGCATTTCAGTCAGGAAGTTTCTATTGGCAAATCTTCAAGCTCACTCATTCTTTCCTCAGCTGTGTCCAGCCTACTGATGAGCCCATTAGAAGCGTTTTTTATTTCTGTTACAGTGTTTTTTATTTCTAGCATATCCTTTGGCTTCTTTCTTGGAGTTCCATCTATCCGCTTATCTTACTCATCTGTCCTTGCATTTGTCAACTTTTTCATTAGAACCCTTAGCATGTTAATCATAGTAATTTTTACTTCCATCTCCGATATTTCCAAAATCTTATCATACGTCAAAATGTGCTTTTTTCCTTATCTTTTAGCATGGCCTCTAAGTTTTTGTTAAAAGCAAGACATGATGTTTTCCTATAATAAAGACTGAAAAAAAATGGTATTTAGTGTGAGAATTAAATTATATTAATTTTGGCAAGGAACAAGACTTAGTTGAATGTTTGCTATAGGTGCAAGCACCGAGAGCTTCTTTTTCCTCCAGCTTCCTTGCTTATTTGTTGATTCTGCCCCTGTTGTATTTGGGTTTCCCTTTTTAAATAAGGTCTGTATTTTGTAGCTTTCTCACTGTTATTATTCTGGGACTCTGTTGATGTGGGGGAAATTTGTTGGGGAGAAGAAATGTTCTAATAATTTTATGATTAAATCTCAGTCCCTGGGTTGTGACCTTCCAAAGAATTTCTCAGCCTTTGTATTTTCTCTATTTACATGAGATAGTAAGGCTAGAGGGGCTTAAGTTGGTTAGTTGCTTTCTCCCAGATGAGACAACGCCCCTATAATTTCCTTTGGAAGATAAGCTTTTGTTTTGGAGGATGCTCTAGATATATTTTAAAATAATTACTTTCTCCTTTCATAGGTAACAAAAGATACATTTTCTAACTCTTCATTTCCTTTCTTTCTTCCTTCTTTCCTTTTTTCCCTTCCCTTTCCTTCCTTCTTTTCTTGTACTGGGATTTGAACACAGGGCCTGAGCTTGCTAACACAGGAGCTATACCACATGAGCCACACCTCAGCCCTTTTTGCTTTAGTTATTTTTCAGATAGGGTGGATCTTACATTTTTTGCCCAGGCTGGTCTGGACCACAATATTCCTACTTATGTCTCCTATGTAGCTGGGATCCTAGGCACACACCTCTATGACCAGCTTTTTTTGTTGAGATGGGGTCTTGCTAACTTTTTGCTCAGCTTGACCTCGAACCATGATCCTCCCAACCTTTACCTCCCAAGTAGCTTCTTTTCACTTTTCAATGTGCGAACAGGATGGGATTTTGGGAGGTAAAACCCACAAAAGTGTGCCCACCTGAAGCTGGGCACCCAAGAGTTTTTAACTGTCAACCTAGACTACTCTCAGCCTCCAGAAATTTGTCACTATCACCACTTAAGAATTCCCATCAGCTTACTATAAACTGTGGAATCAATTAGTAAGTTTATGAGCTTGTTCCCTTTAAAAGATGCATGAAACCTTTGACACTACTAATTTTTAAAAAGAGAAAACTCAAATACATAGCATTAGAAGTGAGACTCAGAAGCAAGTCAACAAGGGCCCAATGTATACTCCATCCTGCCAGGCCCAGCACAGTCTAGTTCAGATCCTATGGCAATATATCCTATCATGATCTTGGGGAGCCCATGGAGAGGAAGCAGCTTACTCAGTCACAGGCAGGGCGTGGGTGGCAGCCCCAGAAATAGAAGCCTGCACACAGCACCTGAGTGGGAGCTGAGGAAGTCTCGGGGTTGGGCAGTCACTCCCCTAAGGGGCCTTTCTTAGGGCAGTGCTACATGCCTGGCTTCTCAGAGGCCAAGCAGAACCCATCTCAGGTGCATAGCATATCTTGGCCCAAGGCCCAAGCTGAAGCCCTTTGTTCTTGCACATTTAAAACCTTCAGTGACTTTAACAGGCACTCCAAACCTGCTTCTACTAAAAAAGCACTAACTTCTTTCTTGGACTCTTAAATTAACAAAAAGCAGGAGAAAAGCTTGGCATCACTGTCTTCATTTTGTATCTGTCTTTGCCAATTGCAGGTGACTCTGACCAGGCTCTTTTTCAAGGTCCCTAGTGAAGGGGTTGGAAACACTGAAACAAAGACTGTGACAGCAGCAGGGAAGGAGGACAAAGAGCTGACCTTTCTGGACAGCAATCTCTCTTGATTTCCTAAAGCACGTTCTTTTGATGGCTGCAATCAGTGACCCATATGTACTGTGAATATGGCCTCATCTCCTTGACCATGTATCTCCTTAGCTGCTCAATATTTGAATAAACCAAAATCAATAAGTAATCTTTGCACCTTATTGTGTTACAGATGGAGGCACTGAGTTCAAGACAGGGCCATGGAAAAGCAGGAAAGCTGATGTAGAGAGCTGTCCTGGCTCATGAGTCATTTTGCTTCTTCAAAGTCCCATGGGGCTTGGGACTGCTCATGGTCCTCACCAACCCACCCCAAGAAGATCAGAGTCATGCTCAGATGCTCAGCCCATTGGAGGGTTTTACTAACACTTCCCACTTTCCTCTTTTGCCTCCTGGTTTAGCAACATTAAGACCCCACTTTGCACCCTTTGATTGTTCCAGAAAAGCAAGAGTTGAGAAAGACCATTGTGTCAGGTTTGCTCAACCCACACCACTTGACATCCTACCTGTCCATATGCCACTCCCAGCCCTTCTCTCAATTTCAACACTGCCAGCTGGGGTGGGAGAGGGACAGCCAGAGAAGAGCAGAGCAGGGCATGAAGGGCTGGTTTTCCCTGGGCTGAAGTTTGTCACTGAAAGAAAGCAGCATGGTGCACTCGGTGGCCTGGGCAGGTGCGTGGGCTCTTACAAGGGGAATGAATGGGCTGGGCCTTGGGAGCTATGCCCGATAAGGATGTGCATGGGCTGTGGCTCCTTGTTACTGTCTAAAAAGATGCAGAAGGGCTCAGGAGAATGTTGGGAGGGCATTCCATCAGTTTTCCTGCCTCTTGGCCTCTGTCCCTTGATTATCTTTCTGGTGGGTCCCCCTTTTCAAGCCCTTTGAACCTTTGCATGGTGAGAGAAGGTTTTCCACCACAGGTTGTGTCTTTTCTCCTGACCTGCAAACCCAGAGTCACTGGGACCCTGTGCTTAGGTTTTCTTTTTTTTTTTTTTTCTCTCTCGTATGCTCTTAGATCCTCACTATTGGTTCTGCCCAAGAAGATCCACTACCAAGGATTATTCTCCCTGTGTTGGTTGTTCTGCAAGAGGGTAGCCTGGGGACGTTTACAAATTTTCATGCAGGTTTTATTAAGTTAGCAGAAAAATCCAAGGTCACCAGGAAGGGAAAGAAAACTTTTCAAAGGAGTCTGCCAATCCTTGGTCTCCAAAGGTGCTGGTAACAGTGGCAGCCTCTTGTGGTAGACTGTGAGAAGGCAGCAGGGAGTCCTGAATCCTAGGGAGCAGAGGCATGGAGGCTACCAGGAGATGGGGGTCTCCTGTGCAGTCCTTCTGGGTGGGTTCTTCCCAGCTACAGGATAAGTTTTCTTCTTGAACCACAGACAAGCTTTCTCTCTGAAAACCTCAAATGTCATCAGTTTTCCCATGATCTTCCTAAATCTTTACCACCCCCAACTGAGGCTACAGAGCAGCCTCAGCCCGTGGAATCTTCCATCAGTTTCTGGAATCAACCCAGACTCTCGACTGTCTGGCCTGGGTGAAGGGATGGATGCAGTGCCCTCATACATCCTTCTGGGAAACCAGCCCCCTCTTACCATCTCCACCTCCTATGCTTCAATTATCTCATGGGACCTGGGGCAGTGAGAGTGACATCATGACCTTTGCCTTGATGTAGTCTTTCTTATGTTTCTGCAGGTGTGACAGTTCTGCAGATGATCCAGTGGGGTAAGTGTCATATTGCCTTGGGGCCAGCTTCTGGTCCCCTCAGCCCCTTCCCTGGCTTTGCTATACTCCCTCACCCCAGCCATTTGTGCATGCACACACACCCCACCCACAAGAGCTCTTGCCAGATTTTAGGGGGACTCTCAGCCCCCTACAATTATCCTTGTCCCCCTAACAGCCATGCCATTCCTTTTCCCAGGAAGGTTTTAGCCTCTTTATCCACTAGCTGAGCCCTTACCCATTCATGCGGGCAGCTGAAGGTCTGACTATCTCAGGACTTTCCTGAGATTCCTTGCTCCTGCCTCTGTCCTCTCACAGCACCAAACATAAATATGTTTTCCAGTAAGACACCACAGTGTTTTAGGTATCTCCCCCACCAACTCTGAGCCCCTCCAGGTAAGGAGCTTGGGTCTTACCCAGCTCTATGGCCCCAGCGCCTCAGCCCAGCAAAGACAACACACTTGCTACTATATCTGTTAATGGGTGTGGAGCTTGGGAGGGGCAGGAGGAGGCTCCTGTATCAAACAGAAAGATCTTTGCAGCATTTACAGCAACCCTGATGCCCAAGTCCCCTTCCCATCCCACCCATTCCCTGGGCATCAGTAGCTCAGGAATGCTGGCTCCTCAGACTCTTTCCTGAGACAGCTCCCCCTTCATGCTAGCTGTTCCCCTCTTGGTCTCACAGGAGGGGACAGATGGGGACCACAGAAATAATGAGCATGGGGCAACAAGGAGGTTGGAGATTTCTCAAAGAGATTTCTCAGGTTGCTTCTGGGCTCTACAGCAATGTAGCAACAATAACAGGACTTTGTATGGGCTAGAAGTTAATAATCATGTCCATAAAGCACCTTGAGCAGAGCTTGTCCCATGTCAGTACATGGCTAAGAGTTCAAATATATTGACTCTCAGCCACATAGTCATCCTGTGAGGTACAGTGGATGTCACTAATTCCCAGTGGAGGAGGCTGAGTTACATGGTTGGAAAATTGCAGAGGTGGGATTTCAACCCAAGGTTGGCATTCCAGAGTCCCTGCTCTCACCCAGCACCCTCTATTACCTCTGTTGTACAAAATCCATTCATAGCATTTGATATGCTGTAGCACGATAAGAAGAGCCTTCTAGCTCCTTCCTAGATGGTCTGAGTGGGGATTCTCTGGGTCAGTTCCCTCTTTCCTTCTTTTGCTATGGGGAGTTCACCAACCCTCCTTGTAGTTCACTTCAGGCTACACTCCTACCCTGCCAGTCGGCTTCACTCCTGGGTGACCTCTTTTGGGGCCAGTGATCTCTCAAAGGTTCTTCTCGTCCTTCTCCACAACTGTCCATGTACCCAGGGTCAGCCCTTCCTACTCCTGGACTCCAGTTGAGACCTGAGCTTTTTCTTACAGTCACATTGCATCCCTGCCCCTCCTCTACTTTCTCCTGGCCACATGAGGGTTGGGGGCTGTAGAGAGACCTTGTTGGGGAAAAGAGAAGCTCAGATGTGTTCCACTTCAAACTCACCATCCCACCAAGTTCCTGAAATAAAATGTCAACTCCTACAAACCACCCCATCATAGAACTTAGAACAGAAAGAGACCTTAGAACTTTCACAGTCCTTTTCAATGGGCCAAGACCAAAGAAAAGATGTACCCAAAGTTCATTTTGGCAGATACATAAAAAAAGACTAACATTCTTCCTTTCCCTCCCCTGCAGTATTGGGCATTGAACTCAGGGCCGTCTTCTTGCTAAGAACTAGCATCCTTGCTTTCTGATATCCTGGCCCATCCAGCGCTGGGCTTCCTCCAAGAGGCTATCACTGGCAGATCCCACTGAGAACAGACTCATCCCTGCAAAGTCTCACATATTATAGGGGATGCCAGAGGCAAGCTGCCTTTTCCTAGATAAAATCAGCTCTTCATCAGAACCTTAGCAGTGATTTGGATAAGTGTAGATTCTCTACAAGGGACAAGTAAATATAAACCACATTAATGCAAGATTTAAGAAACGTAAGGCCAGGGCTATGACTGGAGCCACCTCTCTGCTGCTCCAGATATTTGCATTTTAATTAACATTTTGAAGTATTCCCAGTCGTGTTCAGAAAGTTCTGCCTCCTTTCCTTCAGCAGGTACACATACCTTGTTTAAAATCCTCTGGGTGTTACACTGGGGTTGCCTTCTGTGAGGGCTCAGGTCCTGAAGGGGAGAGTTTAACTGGGGGTAGAGAATCCTGCCTGCCAGGCCCTAGGAACCTGGGCTCAGAGGCTAGCAACTTGCAAGAATGTCAGGGGTCAGAAGACTTGGGTTCTAGCCTCCCACTCTGCCTTCTGCAGCTGTGCTGACTGAGAGGGGTCCCAAAGTTTGTGAGCCTCAGCTTCCATGGTCACAATGGTCCTGCCACTCATAGGTATCCTGTGGATCCCAGGAATGGCCTCTGTAAATGCTTTCCTAACCGTGCAGTGCTATCCAAACAAAAGTTAAGAACATTTCTGGCATTTTTGGCTACCAGGCTCTGACTCAGTCTAGGTGTGTCAGATAAGACACCCAAAGGCACTGTCTGCCTGGGGCAGAAGGCCCATCTGACAGCCATTTCTTTCCTTTGCTCCAACTGGCCAGGCTCTGCTGCGAAACTGGTCTGCTACTTCACCAACTGGGCCCAGTACCGAGAGGGGGCGGCTCGATTCTTGCCCAGGGATGTGGACCCCAATCTGTGCACCCACCTCATCTACGCCTTTGCCAGCATGAACAATCACCAGCTCAGCTCTGCAGCATGGAAGGACAATGTTCTCTACCAGGAGTTGAATAGTCTGAAGAAGATGTGAGCCACAGGAGAAGAGGAGCAATGGTGGTGTTGGGGACAGATCCTCTCAGAACCAGAAACTTCCCTATCTCTGCAATCCTGCTACAGATCTGCTGGTGGCTTTGGGCAAGTCATATCACCTTGCCGGTCTTTCCTGCACTTACATGGAAGAGGTGGGGCAGATTAGGGAATCCTAAAGGTCCCTTCCAATTTAGATCCAGGTGGGATAAAAACTATGAAACCATTTCCCTCTCCCAGGAATTTCCTTCCTCTCAGAAATGCCCTAAAACCTACCCATCCTCCAGCACAAGTGTTAAGACCACCTTTACAAAGCCTCCCTGAGGGCCCTAGGCCATTGTTTCTCTAATTCCTTGCATATATGCACACAGTAGTGTCTCCCCAGTTAGACAGGAGGTCTTTCAAGTCACAGATGTTTCTTTTCTAATCTACAGGTTCTGTGCATAGGAACTGATGCATCCCTACCCCAACCCTCACAGCCTCTAATTACTCAGAGATGGTGGTGTAAAATCTGGCATGTCTCTTGTCTTTTCAGAAATCCCAAGCTCAAGACTCTATTAGCCATCGGGGGCTGGAATTTTGGCACCAAGAAGTGAGTGGACATGGGCACATGGGTGGCAGAGGCCCTGGATGGGGACCTTGTGCACTGACCAGAGACAGCCCTGGTAAGGGAATCGGGGCCAGGCTGAGGTATGGCCAGGATAAAGGACGCTGGGCCATGGGGGGCTTCTCTCCTTTGGTTCTTGGTGCCCCATTATAAGGGCATGAAGTGGACATGGCTCCAGTTTGTTTAGATCCAGTCTAAAATAGCGCAGAGAGCGTTGACCTCTCCAAGCCTCAGTCTCCTCCTCATGAAATGGTAAGATAGGGTACAAGCTGAACACATAGTGCCTATGTTTTCCAAAGCTCTGAAATGAGATGTCTTGTCTGAAAGAATTTTTTAGTTCCACTTCTGGGTATAAATCTCACTGACTTGTGAGATTGAACTCAGTTGCCAAATTATTGGCATTTCTGATTTATGAAGATAATGAAACTAGACTTTTCCTAGAAAAATCCAGAATATAGGGTCCCCACAGCTCTAAGCATTCTTTCTAGAACTTTTTGGAAGAAGAATTCTTTTAAGACTCTGATGCATGTTATAACTCCTCTTCCCAAAATAGTACTTATACTCAGAGTTTTTATCCACACACAGGGGTTTTTAGTCCCCAGGCACATGAACCCCACCTAAGAACTGCCACTATGAATTAAATTAAATAAGAAATTAATAGAAGTAAATTAAGATAGGATCAGTCTGTAAAGAACTTTAGACTTCCAAGAAGTACGGGAACTCTTCCTGGGGCTGAGGAGAAGGAAGGTGTGGGGAGGTGGTCCCCGGCTCAGTTTAGGGGTTTGGAAAAGCTCTGGAATTATAATAGGCACAGCACAAAGCAGTTTACACGTGCACGTTAGAAGAAAGATAACCAGCCTAACCAGCCAGGAAGCTGAGACAGGGGCTCCCCAGGATATCCAGCTCCTTGCCAACCTGGCCACATGTCTCCCTCCTCTGCACCATAAAAACTGATCCTCACTGGTGGAGTGGCTTAAGTGATAGAGCACCTGCTTAGCAAGACTGAGGCCCTGAGTTCAAACTCCAGTAGTGCAAAAAAAAAAAAAAAACTGATCCCTCTTAAAAAAAAAAAACTCCATGTGGAGTCAGGTGAGGTGGGAGCAGCTAGCTCTGATTCAGGGTGGTGGTAAGCTTCTGAAGGGAATTTTAGGCCTCAGGGTTCCTAGGGCCCTGGTGATGTCAATGTTTTGGGGTATGGCTGTTGTCTCTTTTCCTTTTTTTTTTTTTAATTATTTATATGTGCATACAAGGCTTGGGTCATTTCTCCCCCCTGCCCCCACCCCCTCCCTTACCACCCACTCCGCTCCCTCCTTCTCCCCCCTACCCCCTCAATACCCAGCAGAAACTAATCAGGCCCTAACCTGCCAACAAATATCCCAGCAGCCCCTGAAGCAGCCCTCCCACATCCCTTCCTGGTTTAGACACAAGAGCACCAAATCCTGAGAGGTTTTCTGCTTGTCCCTGAGAAAAACAGTGGCCTCCTTTCTGGCCCAAGGCAGGCCCAAACCCCTTCCGTCGCCTCACAGGTTCACAGATATGGTGTCCACAACCAACAATCGGCAGACCTTTGTCAACTCAGCCATCAGGTTTCTGCGCACAAATGGCTTTGATGGCCTTGATTTTGACTGGGAGTTCCCAGGAAGCCGGGGGAGCCCAGCAGTGGACAAGGAGCACTTCACAGCCCTGGTGCAGGTATGACTGGGCAGGACCAGAGTCACCCAGCCTGCCAAGGGACCCAGAGCAGTGGCCCCACAACACATGGGTGCTGCTCTGCCCCCAGGGTCATCTGATTCACATATTTGCATAACTCAGATCAATTCCGTGGGGTCATGTTGGCCTGCGGTTCGTGCCTCTGTTCACTCCCTGTTTCCTCAGGACTTGATGGCGGCTTTCCAGGAGGAAGCCCAGACCTCAGGGAAAGAACGACTCCTTCTGAGTGCAGCTGTCCCAGCAGGGCGAATCCATGTGGGTGCTGGCTATGAAGTGGACAAAATTGCTCAGTGAGTGTCAGGCAGGTGGCTTGGACCCCATGTCTCTGATGCAGGCAATGCCCAGGGCTGACCCAACTTCCCCAAAGTCTTCACCTGCAAGGTATGGCCTTGGGGTTCTGCACGGTATCCAGGAAGGCCTTGCACTCTGTGTCACCCCACCACTCTAGACAGATCCTGCTTTTCAGATCTTTACCCTCTTCCTTGGGAACTACTCACTGTTTAAGTGAAAACACCCCTGGGCGAGCAGAGGGGAGAGTGATGCCCCAAACATCTTCATGAGAATGGGGGTCTAGATCCTGGCTCCTCAGTGTGGTGTGTGGAACTGCAGACCTTGTAGCATCCAGAAGCTTGTTATAGATGTGGGCTCTCAGGCCCAACCCCAGCTTGCTGGGTAAGAACCCACATTTTAGTGAGATTCCCGGGAGATTTGTGGGCACTAAAGTTTGAGAAACACTGATCTAGAGTTTTCTCCAAAATAGGAAAATAGTACCAAGTTTTGTAATGGACTAGGGAACACCTGAGGGTGCAGAAGGAATGGTGGGGGAGGGTGCCCACCTCAGGCTGGAATGAGAATGGCCTGAAGGCAAGGGATGGCCTGGAAGTGCTATCTGTAGAGCAAGGGGTGAGTCTGGCCATCTCTGGCCATAGGGTCCCTCTCCAAGTTGCAATCAGGGAAGAGGGAAGGAAAGAGGAGCCCTTCCTGCTCAACAGCACTCACAACTCTTTCCACCTCTCCTGCAGGAGCTTGGACTTCATCAGCCTTATGGCCTACGACTTCCATGGCTCATGGGAGAAGGCCACAGGACATAACAGCCCCCTCTTCAAGAGGCAAGGGGAGAGCGGTGCAATGGCCCAACTGAACGTGGTAAGTGGCGGCAGGGATGAGGAGTTCTCCCGTGTCCAGCAGGCCCTGTCCAATGGCTTCCTTTTCTTTTCTCTTTCTCTTCCTTCCTTCTCTCTCTTTCTCTCCCTCTCTTTTTCTCCCCCACCTCTCCCTCCTTTCTTTCCTTCTTTCCTCCCTCTCTCCCTCCCTCCTTCCCTTCCTGTTCTTCCTCTTCTTTCTCTTTCTGTCTTTCTCTGTCTCTGACTCTCTCTCTTTCTTTCATTGTGGTATTAGGGATTGAACTCAGGGCCTTGTGCTTGCTAGGCAAGTGCTCTACCACTTGAGCCACGCCCTAGCCCATATATATGTATATATAATTTTGTTTTTGAGATAAGTTCTCACTAACTGCCTGAGATGGCCTCAAACCTTGATCCTACTGCCTGTCAAGTAGCTGGGATTACCACACCAAGCAGGCTTAGTGCCTCCCTTTGAACCCCAAGACCCTAAAGGAAAAGAAAACCAGGAAAACCAAGCAGGACACCAAGAAGCCAGGATTGTCAGTCTATTTCTTCACTTGCTGTGCCCTGCCACTGCTGTGGGGGAAGTCTTGCTTTTGTGCAGCATCTTGGCTGACAATAGTCAGCAAACCAATGCAATGACATCAAACACACAGGGACTGATTGGCCTCCCTTGGAGCTTGAGTCTCCAGCCAGTATGGCTCTTGCTCACTTCACAGTCTGACCACATTTCCTTCAAGACAATGGGGGAGTACTTTGCTCCTTGGTCATTTATTGACCGTCTGGAAAGTGCTTTCAGAGATGGGAGTTTTCCCAAGTTTCTCCAGGGATGGAACTCCCTAGCCCCTGAAATGGGCAGGCTTGGTTTTAGGCTGTGGTGGGTTGGGTGTCCTGTTCAACTCTTCCTCCTTGAGCAATCTAGATATATTTTATAAGTCCACTGTTTATCTTAAAAGTGAAGAATAACAGTGCCTTTTTTCTCCTTAAAACAAACAACAACAGTTGGACTCACACCTGTAATCCCAGCTACTCAGGGGGTAGAAATCAGGAGGATCGCAGTTTGAAGCCAGCCTGGGCAAATAGTTCATGAGCCCCTATCTCAAGAATCCATTACAAAAAAGGGCTGGTGGAGTGGCTCAAGGTGTAGACCCTGAGTTCAAACTCCAGCACCAGAAAAAAAAAAAAAAAAAAGAACCACCACCACAAAAATCTCAAATTTCTGGGTGTTGTCTGAGTGGTACATTTGTTTTAAACCTCTGTGGCTCTTTCACAAAATGCACACTGTGGGGTGATGAGTCACACTGATCCTGCCCTCCCATCTCCATCTGGAAAACCATGTAGATTTTGGAGGAAGCTGTAACCCCAAGGAAGCCCAGCCCATTGGGGGGACACAAAGACATTCAGCGGAGAGGTGAGGGGGTTTGCCCTCCATGGTGGGTGCCCCGGGTCTGTGGAGGAAGGGAGGCCTTTTTCCTCTTACCCAGAGGCCTTGTGCTCTTCTGTGTGTTTGGGTTGCTTCTGGCCGGAGGGATGACTTTTCCAAACTTACATAAAACTGCCATGTACGTTAGCAGAGGGACCTGACCTCTGCCCTCAGAAAGTTTTGGTCTGATCGAAGATAAATTATGTAGACTGACAAAAAAAGAAATCAATAGAGTGAAAACTGTTCTTTGCTCAAGTGCTACAAGGGCAAGAGCAACTTAACCTGAACTCAACCAGGGCAGCTTCTTGGGGAAGGTGAGCCATAATCTTGGGGTGAGGGAAGAAATTCATCATTCATTTATTCAATATATCTTCATTGGGCACCATTTCCTGTCCCAGGCCTGCGAGATTTATGCCACGTAATGAATGACTGTAGGAGGGTCTTGCTCAGAGGTGGGTGAGGACACGGAACACCTGTGATCTTTCTGTTTGAGTGTTTAAGTGCCAAGTGTTGTTCTAGACACAGGGGATGCAAACCCAAGTCCTTGCTCTTGTACTCAGGTGAAACTTACAAGCATCGTAATGATAATGACAGCGCTCACATCTCACTGTGCTAGGCCTTATAATACATTATATCCTTTAAGCCACACAGGCCCCTAGAGATGGTTATTCATACTCCATTTTAAATAAGTTTCTGAGTACAGGACACTGGTGGCTCATGCCTATAATCCTACCTACTCAAGAGGCAGAGATCAAGAGGATAGCGGTTTGAAGCCAGCACAGGCAAATAGTTTGTGAGATCCTATCTCGAAAATACCCAACACAAAAACAGGGCTGGTGGAGTGGCTCAAGTGGTAGAGTGGCTAAAGTGGTTGAGTGCCTCCCAAGCAAGCTTGAGGCCTGGAGTTCAAACCACAGTGGCACCAAAAACTAAATAAACAATAAAGGTGAGCAGATTGGAATATTAACCAAGGCCCTTGGATCTCCAGCTGAGAAATCCCTGCTCTCTCTCGAGCCCCCTCGTTAGACAACCAGGCTGGGCTGAAGGCAGAGATTAACTGGCCCCTCCTCCTCACCACCAGGATGCTGCTGTGCAACTGTGGCTGCAGAAGGGGACCCCTGCCAACAAGCTGATCCTTGTGTACCTACCTACGGACGATCCTTCACTCTGGTCTCATCGGACACCAGAGTGGGAGCCCCAGCCACAGGGCCTGGTGTGCCCGGACCCTTCACAAAGGAAGGAAGGATACCGGCTTACTATGAGGTGGGAAAACCTACAGACACCCAGTATTGGGGATAGGGTAGGGAATGCCCGGGAGGTGAGAGGATTTCTCTCACAGTTTCTGTGTGAGGAATTCTGGCCATGTGACCTCCATCCCATCTCTGCCATCTTAGATGTATCTTTCAGGCCAGGTGCCTAAAATTTGAATCCCTGATTCTGGGTCATTCAGTCTAGAATCACATATGTTTTCCAGGCTTTCTCAGACAGGAATTTTGCAACCTTGGTCTCCTCCCTAGCGCTGCCCTCTATTCTTACAGGTCTGCTCCTGGAAGATGGGGCACAGAATCAAGGACCAGAAGGTGCCTTATGTCTTCCAGGACAATCAGTGAGTGGGTTTTGATGATGTGGAGAGCTTCAAAACCAAGGTGAGGCCTGACCCTGCTGGGAGAAGGGTGGTCCCAGGCAGAACAGAGGCCTGCCAGTAACATCAAATGACAGCATTCAGAAACTGTTTAAGTGTGAGGCTCCTGGCTAATGTCCCAACATTTCACCAAGCTCCATGTGATAGCATTTTGTACCTTTGACACCTATTGGTTAAGAAAAGACACAATGCCAGGAGCTGGTGGCTCACGCCTATAGTCCTAGCTACTTGGGAGACTGAAATCGGGATAATCGGAGGCCAGATCAGGCAAATAGTTTGTAAGATCTCCATCTTCAAAACAACCAGAGCAAAATTGACTGGAGATGTGGTGCAAGCAGTAGAGTTCCTGCTTTGCAAGCTCAAAGCCCTGAGTTCAAACCCCAGTCCCAACAAAAAGAGAAAAAAGACACAATGAAAAAACCGTGTGCATTGAGTAGTACTCTTGAAAGGATCTGTGTTTTATTAAATGCAAATTCTACTGGCACACGAAGAGAAACATGCATTGTGAGACCTATGATTTTATTTATCCACGGGCAATATTTAGAGCATGTTCAAATCACAAGCCTTGAGTTTCCTTATAGGACCTCCCCCTGCTGTCCAATGTGGGTTCTTGTGTCTGTCTCTGGCTTCTCTCCCCCATGAGGTCATTAGCTCCTGGAGAGAACAGAGCTGCACTCACTCATCTGCACATCCTGCATCAATCATCATAAAGGAATCACCAAGGAGGGTCCTTCTAGAAGTGTAGACAAAGTGCTCTGGGAGAACTTGGGGTGATGCTGGCTGGCTATGGGAGATGGCAGAAGGGATTGCGGAAGAGGTGTTCTGAGATAAATCCTAAAGCACTCTGGGAGGAAACTGTACAAGCAAAGACACAGTGGAGAAGGAAGGGGAGGATAGACCCTGAGAACAAGGTCCAGTGCAGAAAGGACATTGGAGCAGCAAAGGGCTCAGACCTTCCTACCCTCCAGTCCCCAGCCCCACTCCAGAGGCAAGTGCCATAGCCCCCTGGCAGGTTGAGGGGACAGAGAAGCCCTTTGTAAGGGAACACACAGCCATACTGTATTCCCTCAGAAGCCTGATGAAGGAGAGTCCTCAGGAGGCACAAAGATTTGTGATGGGAAACAAAACTTGATTCAGATCTTTGGGGACCCTTAATCCTTCCCTGTGATAACCAAACATATCACAAACCAGTAGATAGTACCTCCAACAGCAGCTTACCTAGAAACAGCCAAGACATTAAAACACGGCCTCTCCCCCTCTGTCACTACTCACCCTGCCCCACCCCCACCCTGGCCATGTTTATGCCCCAAAGGGTCAGGCTCAGCCACTCAGTCCTCATCCCAGAGTCATTTCCAGAAGCCCCAACCAGCCATGGGCTTGAGATGCTGGGGCCAAAGGGTCTTATCCAGATAAAGAAGCTTGGTCTGGGGCTGACTTTGCCAGGTGTCTTGGGCCCCTGCACCAGCATCTCCCCGGCCTCCCCATAGGGCCACTACCTGAAGCAGAAGGGACTTGGTGGGGCCATGGTCTGGGCCTTGGACTTGGATGACTTCAATGGCTCCTTCTGCAACCAGGGCCACTATCCCCTCATCCAGGCATTGCGGCAGGAGCTGAGTGAGTAAGGGGCCAGGCCTCAGAGGCAGAATTGGGGGCGGGAGCGCACACCCTTCCACCTCAAATCACATGTGCTGGGCCTTTCTAAGGAAATGGCTATGCCCCAATATCGTGGTTTCCTCAATTTCATGCATCCCCAGGATCTGAGGAAACCGCTGAAACAATTTTCTTTTCACTCCCTCCTTCCTCTTCCTTATTTTGGCAATGCCAGGGCCTTGTAATCAGAGTTTCCCTCCCAAAGCCTCAGCCTGAGCAGCAGCTTGCTCCTGTCAAGGAAAAAGCTTGTGCTCAGGCTGCACTATGGGACCCCAGTGCCCTACACCAGTATATGGGCTCTGTGGGTGGCCACTGACTGACTGTTACATGTGTTGTGTTGCCCAGGTGTTGTGTGTCAGGTCCCAGCTGTAGGTGTGGCTGTGCTCTACAAGTAGGGTGTGGGGTGTTGGGCTGCTGCCTCCTGTGGTTGCTGTCTGCGTGCTTGACCTTGGGTTTGGGATCTCTTGGGTCAGCATTGTTGAATCATCCTTGTCTTCCCAGGCCTTCCATCTGAGCCTCCAGGACTCCCAGAGCCGGAAGTGCCTACTCCAGGCCAGCCCTCTGAACCTGAGCAGAGCCCCAGTCCTCGACAGGATGCCTTCTGCTAGGGCAAAGCTGATGGGATCTATCTACTCCAACCCTCGGGAACAGTCCAGCTACTTCAGCTGTGCAGGGAGGGGGTCAGCTATTCCAGCAGAGCTGTCCCCCAGGCCTGGTGTTCAGTGTCTCCTGCAAGTGCTGCACCTGGAGCTGAGTCCCCAAGGGGAGTGTCTGGAATTGTCCCACAGTTCAATTCCAGCTTTCCCTGGGGGCTGAGATCTGATTCCTGAGGGCCTGTCTGTGTTCTCTCTCTGTAGCCAGACTGTCTTCTCTCAACCTTGGCTTCCTTTTTCTGTCTCTCTCTCTCACCTGAAAAATAAATTTTTAGTTTTCACCCATCCCCCCCCCCCCCCCCAGGGTGTGGTGACTTAAAGAGGATCTCTAAGCACACTGTTGACTCAGACTGCCTGGGGAACCAGGAGAGGAGGGTGGCATAAGTCAGGTATAGGTCAGAGCCAGGGGAGGTGGTCAGGATTTGCTAGGCCTTGTGCCAGGCCTCACCTTCCAGTGGGCATCTTCCAGTACACAGGTGACAGCATCCAGATTACAGCAAGCGTTCCACACATTAATTGATCATTGTCTCGGGAACCTTTGGAGAGAGGTGCTTTTCCTGCTAACCTCCACTCACATGGTATCCCAAATATGGACACTAGATGGCAGCAGAGAAGAGCTTGTCTCAGCTTTAGTCCTCTGCTTGCTGAGCATTTCCCTGACCCTAAACGCTCACTTTCGCCGTTTCTCACTTACTGCTTCTCATCTTATCTCACCTATTGCTCCCATTAGTTAGATGACACCAGAACAATCACTATCCTCGTTTTACAGGTATTTAAACTGAAGACTGCTTCTAACTAATTCTGAGTTCAGAACCAAAGCTTAAACCGGGCCCAGACAAGCATGTGCACACAGTGTCACCATTAGAGAGTACTCTAGTTATACGTGGTGATGCCTGCCAGTAATCCCAGCACTCGGGAGGCTGGGGCAAGTAGGATCTTGGGTTCGAGGTCAGCCTGGGATAGATGGCAAGATTCTGGCTCAAACAACTAAGGGCCAGGGATTTAGCTCAGTGGTAGAGGGCTTGGCTAGCCTGTGCACGGACTTGTGTTTAATCCTCAGCACTAGAAAAGAACAAGGACAACAACAAACCTACCACAGGTTCCCCGCCCAGAGAATAAAGTCTCCACTCGTCTCATCAGCACAGTGTTGGGATTCCTTATCCCCAATCACTTTTCCTGGTCTCATCTCCTGTCATTCTCTCCAGTTTAGTTCCCTGGTACCACAGGTGTCAGTGTTAACTAACCTCGGCTGCCACAGCACCCAAGGTGAGAACCCCAGGTGCCCCCCATGACCCTGCTAACAAAGGCCCATCCCATTTTTCTGAATGGATCCTCCTGAGACAGGAATAATGGATGCCCCTAAAAGCCATTCATGTTCAGACTGCATCTCTTCTGTGTCCACTGTGGGCTCTGTACCCCATATGGCCCCCTGGTCTTCCTGCTGGAGCTGGGTCCCTCAGCACAAACCAAATGTCTGTGACTAATTAGGCCTGGTGCCCAGTGGACACAGCAGGGGCAAGTCCGGAGTTCAGCTTTCCTGGGGCTGACATACTACTGGGGGAGGCAGACAAAGAACAGATGAACAATAAGATCATCTCAGAGGATAATGAGTGCTGTCAAGGGAAGGGTACACAGCAGGAGAGTGAAAGCAGGGGGTGGGGGACCTAGTGTGTTTGGTGGCCTTTCAGGTACTAACAACTGAGGCCAGGACTCCTGGGCCACTGCTCCTGGCTCATGTGACTTACCTTCAGAACCAAACTCTAGAGACTGCCCTGGCCCCTGCTGTGCTCTGGTGTCCAGGGAACTGCATGTCCCAGTTCAGCACCATCCTTCTCAGCTCCTCCAGGCTGCTACCAGGACACCACCATGTGTTGCACCCAGATCCTGCATGGTGGCATATGTTCCAGCTGGTCCCATGCCTTGCTCAAGCCCCCCTCCATCTTGTTCCTTAGTAATTCCTGTCCCCACCCTCAATACTTTTGGTCACCCTCAAAGAGTCAGCTCCTGGGTTACCTCCTGCAGGACACATTCCCAAGTGCTCCAGACATCCGTGATTGATTCCCTGCCACCTACAGCACCAGGCCACCTTATTCACATCTGCTACTATAATTCTCTGTGTCCATATTAGACTCTTCCCTGGGTTTTGAGTTTCTGAGGACAAAGAATGTGTCTTATTGGTCTTTTCCTTCTATGACTCATGTTTGAGGCACAGTACGTATTGGACCATTAATTACTGATGTTCTTTTTCTTTTCTTTCTTTTTTTTGGGGGGCAAGCAGTACTGGTGTTGAGATTTTGAACTCAGGGCCTTGCACTTGCCAGGCAGATGCTTTACCATTTGAGCCATGTTTCCAGTCCTTGATTTTTGTTTCTTTTATCCTCAGATACAGAAATTGGTTCTGCCTCTTGGGTGGAGGATTCCATAAGTACCTCTTAATGACAAGAACACTGCTGTCCCAGGCCCTTCTACAAATGACATTTTGCCTTTTAATGTTATCATGCTGCCAGTAGGGAATTAACATGTCTTGTCTGACCAGAGACCATACTAGGCACGTGATAAATATTTGCAGAGTGAATTTAAATGAATTGACCCACGCTATTTAATTTTCACTGTGTTCCTGCAAGCTAAGTATCATTGCCTCGTTGCCTTCTGGTTACGTGAGTAACCGTGGCAAAGCTGGGATTTAGATTTTGGTGTATATACAACTCAGAGCCCAGGTCTTCTCTCCAAAACACTGCAGGCTTTCTCCTCCCTGAGATAACATCATATGCATTTTTTTCCTCTCTTCCACCCTGTTTTGGGTGCAGCCCTGAGGCCATGTGTGTTGGATGTTTATGTGGTGCTGACTAAACATCACTGTGAACATTAACTGATCACTGGCTCAGTTCCATGGGGTCACATGTGCAGAAACCAAGTGTCCAAGTCAAGCCAGCGGTAGAGCGTGGGCCTGACTTGGGTCCACCCATGATCATACATACAAAAGGGTGTTCATAATCTTTTTGTGTAAAGGTTGGTGGCACAAGCATGTAAACCTTGCTGCTCAGAAGGCAGAGATTGGGAGTATCACTGTTAGAGGCCAGCCTGGGCAAAAAGTTCTCAGGACCCCATCTCAACCAATAGCTGGATGTGGTAGTATGTGCCTGTCATCCCAGCTACATGGGGAGGCACAAATCATGAGGCTTCCCATCCAGGTTGGCATGGGCAAAAAACAAGACCCTATCTCAAAAATAGCCAACACAGAAAGGGCTGGCAGAGTGGATCAAGTTAGAGCTTCTGCCTAAAAGTGCAAGGCCCTGAGTTCAATCCACAATACTACAAAAGAAAAAAAGAATCTGTATTTGTGGGAACTCCCATGGCACACACCCAGGTAGGGTTACAATGTCACCGACACCTTGGATGTTACAGAAAGGGCCCTCCCTGATCCCACTCTCCTCAACCTGGATTTTGGTTTTCTTCTTTGTTCTTTTCCTAGTTTTGCCAACTACATGTGCATTTAGAAATATAATACTGTTTAGTTTATTTAGTTTTGAAAGTTTTATAAATGGGATCACTGTGTAGTACCTTCTGTGGCCCACTCCTTATTGTCATTCACATAGCTGTAACTCGTTCTCATGGCAATACAGTGTTCCATTGCCTGAGTATGTCCCTGGCATTTGGGTTGTTTCCAGTTTGGGGTAATGTAGACACTGTTGCCATGAATACCCTTGAGCATGACTCCTAGATCATATGTGGGGAATTTGTCCCAGAGTAGAACGAATGGAATATGGGATATAGGTACGTTCAATTTCCCCAGGTGTAGACAACATGTTTTCCTGAAGTGGTTGTGTAAGTTTTTCCTTCCATCAGCAGAATTCCCATTATAATCACTATGCTGTACTTTATCCAAGGGATTTTTAGCCAAGCTAAGGAAAAGCCTGGCATCTCACTGTGATTCAAACTTGCATCTCCTGACTTCTCATCAGCGTCAGAATAGTTCCTGTATCTATAAACAATATGTGTTGTCCAGCAGCCCATGGCGTCTTCTTGCCATCTCTCTACTGAGTGTTCTGTCTCTTTCTTATTGAGACACAGGAGGTCTTTACATATTCTGAACACAAATCCTTTGATGCTTATAGGTTTATAATATCTCCTGATTCTTGGTAATTATTCATTCTCTTTAAGTATCTTGTAATATAGTCAAATTTACCAATCTTACCCTTTATGGTTTTGATTTTCTGTGTCTAAAGATGACTTTCTCTAGTTTAAATCAAAAAGATTTTCATACAAACCTGTAATGCCAGCACTGAAATAAATCCTTTCTGCATATGCACAGGCATCTTTCTGTCCCACTGGTCTATGTTTCTTCCTATACCCCAGTATCTCACTGTCTTAATTAGTAATGCTTTATAGTAAGTCTTACCGTCCAGTAGGACAAGTTCTTCTTCCATTTCTGGTTTCGGGAATGCCTTGGCTATTCTTAGCTCTTACTTTTCCACATCATGTTAGAATAGTATTGCCAAATTCCATTAAAAAATCCATTCAGTTTTTCATTAGAATTGCATCGAATTGGGCTGGCAGACTGGCTCAAGTGGTAGTAAACATGAGGCCCTGAAATTATAGTATATTTCTTCATTTAGTTGTCTTTTTTAAATGTACTTGAATAAAGTTTTATAGAACCTATTTCTAGGGCTATTTTAGTTTTCATTTTACAATAGTTCACCTTTACTTGGGCTTTTATTGTTTGTTTTTTTGAAACAGGGTCTCACTATGTAGCCCAGGCTGGCCTTGAACTTGCAGTCTCTTGCCTCAGCCCCTTGAGTGGTGGGATGATTTTAATTTTTGGTCATTGTTGCCAGCATACGTCAGTGTCATTAATTTTCAAATGTTGAGGTTGTGTCCAGGAATTTTTCCAAGTCTCTTATTAATTTGTTTGTTTATTTTGTTTATTCGAGACAGGGTCTCACATACATAGCTCTCACTTATGTCTTGGAACTCACTATATAACCCAGGCTGGCCTTGAACTGTGATCCTCCTACCTCAGCTTCTAGAGTGCATGGATGTGAATTTTGTCAGATGACTTTTATTGATTGATTTGTGCTTATTAATAAATTATTATTAATCA